TTCCTCTTAAATAAATTCTATAAGTTCCAACCTGAATTCATCTTCCTTGGATCTCCTCCACTCTCTCAGTTCAGACTTCCTCTTGAGATCCCACAAAACAAGACCAACATAAACAAGAAGGATCAAGATCAATGGGGAGAGCTCCTTGCTGTGAGAAAATGGGGCTGAAGAGAGGCCCTTGGTCTCCTGAAGAAGATCGCATCTTGACCAACTTTGTTCAAGATCATGGCCATACCAATTGGCGAGCTCTTCCTAAACAAGCTGGTCAGTTCAGCTTCTTTTCATATTAAGATCGAGTTTTTAGTTGTTTTTTATGATTTTTTTCCTCTAAATTTCTTGAAATTCTTAACAAAAACAGAAACCCAGAAAAACCCATGTCTTGAATTTTTCAATTTCGTCGTATTTTGAAAAAAGTTTGGATTTTTTTGACGTAATATGTTGATTTTTGTTTGTGTTTTTTTTGGTGCAGGTCTTCTAAGATGTGGGAAAAGTTGTAGACTTCGTTGGACGAACTATTTGAGACCTGATATTAAGAGAGGCAACTTCACGAAAGAAGAAGAAGACGCCATTATTAACCTTCACGAATTGCTCGGCAATAGGTAATTTACTACCATCTATTAACTTCTCAAGTGCATCAAATAAGTAAATTATGTCAATTCCAACTTAACTCAATGAATAAGGGATCAATTAATATCTTAAAAGTAAAAAATCAAAATAGATAATATCTACTAGTAGTGAACTTGGACTATTACAAATGGTATAAGAGTTAGATACTAGGCGGTGTTCGAGCGAAGACATTGGCCCCTAAGAGAGTCCATTGTTAGATGTCACTATCTTGTAGAGTGAAACAAAACATTCTTTTTAAGAGTGAAAACTCATACCTAATCATGGCACTAACGATAATTCATGACAAGTCAAAACAGATAGATTCATTCTTTAAAAAACAATAAACCTTAATGTATTGTTTGGCCATTAATATCACAAATAGAAATTGGGCCTAACTTTGTTTACTTTTTCTTTGTTACTATAGATGGTCGGCTATAGCAGCCAAGCTACCAGGTCGAACAGACAATGAAATCAAGAACCTTTGGCATACCCACTTGAAGAAAAGGCTGCAAAAACCCATCAAAACAACACCTCCCAAATCCAAAAACAAAACAAAAAAGCAAACAAAATCAAATAGTTCCTCAAATTATTCTTCATCAATGGCTATCACAAATCAAACCCATTTGCCCATTTGTTCATCTTCAATGTCCCCTTCACAACAATCTTCAACCTCTGAGATCTGTTCCTCACTCACCACAGATGCTTCCATGGCTGAAAATGAGTACTACAGCTACACGGCGGACGACACGGCTGCTCCGCTGCTGATTGACGAGAGCTTTTGGTCGGATGCGGCGGAGAATTATAATCCCAATTCCGATTCGAGTTCGAGTTATTATAACGAAGAGAATAAGGATATGGAGTTTTGGTACAATGTGTTCGTCAAAGCTGGAGGAATCCCAGGATTGCCCGAGTTTTGAGTTCTTTCAAAATCCAACAAAATTGCAGAGAATTGAGTCGAGGGGGCGACTTTTGAGATATGGATGAAATATTGAGGGGGAAATGAATGAAACAGCAAATTTGAAGGACTTGACAGAAATTTGAAGATGTGGATAAAAAGCTAGTCGTACAGAAAGAAAAAGAAAATAATTTCAGATTTATTTGCGGCTTTGTATATTCTTTTTCTAATGAAAAAATAAATTCTTTATTATTATTATTATTTAATTAATTTTTCCCTACCATATCTCGAATTAAATAAAGTTTAGATATTTTTTTAGAATGTTCCAATTGTTGCTCGGAGTTTTTATCTAAATTTTTTATTTTTAATAAAAGTAAAATGTTAGTTTATAAAATATTTATTTATTTATTTTCAAACCTTTAATTAAAATTTATAACTCGAATATATATATATATATATATATATATAGAAAATATATGTTTCTTTATTTTCAAACGTTTAATCAAACATCTAATTGATTCGTGTTAGATCTCACATGGGTTTGAGGAGGAGAACAAAACATGTTTTATAATTGTGCGAAAAGCTCTCTTTAGTAGACGCATTTTAAAAAACGTGATGTTGACGGCGATACATATCGTGCCAAAACAGATAATACTTGTTAGTAGTTGGTTTAGGCCATTGCAAATTATCAGAGTCGGTCATAGAGCGGTGATTGTGAGATCTCACATCGGTTGGAAATGGAAACATTCCTTATAAGGATGTGGAGACGTTCATCTATTCAAATTCTAAGTAAATCCATAAACTAACTCGAACTTGTAGAATTTTCATTTATTTCAACTCAACCCAACCAAGATAGTAGGGATTGGATCAGATCATAGAGTTTTTGAACCCTCATAAACGTAAATCTAATTTTAATGCAAGTCAATACCCGACATTAAAAATAGACTATTATAATTTACATTTATAATCAAAACGATATGAAACGTGCACACATTTCCGATATACTTAATAAATTAGGGTTAGATTGGGTTAGTCATGATTCCTTTCTTAGCTATATTATCAATAGCAATGGTTAAGGACATTAAGGAATTTTGAGTATCATATTTTGACTTTTGAGGGTTCTAAAATCTCCATAAGAGCCCTCCAAGCTTTGTTAATAGTCTAAAATTGAAAGGGGGAAGCTGAATTTTCTTTGGGACTTTGGATCTTTGGGTGATAGTAAGCTTTTCTTTCTTGTTCGAGTTTCTTGTTCCCGTTTGACTAAGAATATTCATATTAATGTCGCCCTACATCAAGTTGATGAAACTTGTACGTGAATTCCCTATTCGTTCGAGGTTTCATTCTTCGATATTAGATGGCTCTCGTCAATATTGTCCTCTGTCTTGCTTCCGTCTTAACTTGACTTTCTTGCACACTTTTTTTTTTGGTAAGTACGATGAACGAATTTGATCAAATCATTTGGAATAATTATAAATTAAGTTGTATCAATAATGTTACCAAATTCAAATTGAAACAACACTGGGGAGGCAAGGCAGCATCAACGATGTCCCAGCACTGCCATACGAACACGCTGCAGAATCTGCAAGCACCGAGCCAACATCCCGACACATTCTTCCGCTCAAAGCTACCATTATTTCCATATGTTTAACGCTCTTTCTTTGTGGTGTTGGCATCCCAATGCTGCCTCAACCTTCCCTACATATCACACTTTTTCTTTTGAGGAAATTTTGACCTAAACACAAAATTTACACCCTATGAAGAACGATTTTAGAGGTTAGAAAATGGGTTTTTAAAGCACGAGATTGTAAAAATAGTGCTAAGAACGAGAATATCACTATGTGAGATATCACCATGTCGAACTTAATTTAATTGGGTTCTTAATATATCTGAGAATTAATTATGTTTGGGAGAGAGTTCGTGTAACAGCTCAAGCTCATTGGTAGCAGTTATTATCCTCTTTAAGTTTTCCTATCTAAACTTTGTGAATGGTCTATTTATACACCCTTGTAAATAAGATTTTGTTTTCCTCTACAACCAACCTGAGATCTCATCGGTTCTTAACTTACCGAATATGTCCGAGATTAATTAGCTCATAAATCTATTGGATGGAATCAACTACCTAAGATATTTTTTTATTCAATCATTCATTCCATATCTATTTCTATAAAATGGAGCGTTATCATAACACGAGATTAAAATTGGAGGAATCTATGGAATATGCCTTCGTATATTCTTTGATTTGCATTATGAATGGAAAAACGTGGATTAGTGAAGGAAAAAACAAATGGAATACGAAGAAACAACAATGAGTGAGAGACAAGAAAAGGGAAACGTCAAAAATGTCGAACAAACACAAAGCTTCTTATTATTTTATGCATATTTCTCGACAACAATAAAATTATTAATATAATATTAATACTTTGAATCATTTAATGGCAACTGAAATTTATTTATTTTCAAATAAAAGAATTTTCGTCGTGAAGTTTCTCTTATTTTGAGTTGAAGGTAAAAAAAAAAAGAGGTCAAGAAAAAAACTAACTTTATTTAGTTTAGAGGAAATAAAATTTGTCTTTCCCAATTAGGTGAAGAAAAGTATGTTTTTAATGCAATAACTATTTGATTTTTTAAATATTTCTTAAAGAAACGCATCAAACTTTAAAAAAAAATAATAAAAAAATTAATTCCTTTTAGTTATTGGGTAACGTAAATCAAATTTACAGAAGCTACCAAGGAACAACGGTATGTCAAATCCCATTAGTTACAGTTCACTCTAATTCCGTTATATTTCTGTATTTTAACTATAGTCAAACAATATCCGTTATATTTCTGTATCTTAACTATAATCAAACAATATTTATTAGCAAGAGACACAGGCCCATCATTGAACCCAAAAGAAGCTTGAGGGGCGTTGGGTGAAACCAAAACCCCTTTCCTCTACCGCCATTCAACCGTCGCGATCGGCCAAATGGGTCAGAAATGAGTGACAACGACGGTGCTGAAGACGGTGATAAGAATCGTCAAGGTAATTTATCGGTAAGGATATGACGGGGACAGAGGCAATTTTAATTTATTTGAAATTCTTGAGAAGAAACAAACAAAATCCTGAGACGAATTCGAGAGAATTATTGTGGTGGGAAATATATTTGAATCTAATAATCAACAAAGTTCATGTAAAACTCATCACACAAACAGGCCACAGTTGGTGATGGAAAATTATAAACAAAATGGAAATCGGGAAAATACATAGCACCAGAAGCAGAAGAAAATTACCTCTTTCTTAACAATGGCATTATTCTAAACTGTAACCACTCTGAAAAAGTACGTCAATTTAAGAGTTACCTCCATACTACGGACGTGAAGCAGTGGCCAACTATTTAGGAGAGGCAGGAGTAAGCCAAAGCCTTTTCCTCGGTCAGTTCCTCCGCAGTCAAATCCAGTTTCTTTCGAGAGAATTCATCCACCGAAAGTCCTGGATGCGGAAAGGATCACCACAAACAAACAGAAATTATCATAATTTTGCAGCATAAGAAACCCAAAAACTTTCAAAACCATAGGCCTTTGAATGAATAGAAACGCCGTATGGGGATCTTAGAAGAGGTTTGTTGGTTCTCTTACTAGATTTAATGCTTGCTTTCTAATTGGACGTTGGTTTTTGATAACTTTTGTAATTAGTAGATGATCCCAGAGGCCTAAAAATCTTTGTATGTTTATCGAATAGTTGGAGCTCCTTTTTGGGCTGTTCTTGAGTTTGCTTTAGTGTTCTTCCAATTTTATAATTGAAAGCATAAAAAAACTAAACAATACCTTGCACAATTGACCATTCACCATTTTGGCAGGTGACGGGGAACGAGTAGATGAGTCCAGCTGGTACATTGTACGATCCATCAGAATAAACTCCCATGGAAACCCAGGTGCCCTGGAATTAAGTTTTAATGAGCTATATAAATCAGCCTTTACAAAACACAAAGTTCAAGATTATAGCAAAATCACCAACCTCGGGAGTTCCAAGCACCCAATCACGAATGTGGTCACAAGCTGCACTAGCAGCAGACAATGCACTTGAGAACTTTCGGGCTTTGATGATTGCAGCACCACGTTGTTGAACAGTGCTAATAAACTCTCCATTCAACCTTCAATGAAAAAACAACCACATATTATTGTAAATGCTACTCGTCAAACTTAATAGACAAATATATAACAGAAACTCTACCATGCATCATCAGCAACAAGCTCACGGACAGATTTTTCCTCCCCAGATGGTAACTTGACAGTAGCATGGTTGACATCGGGGTATTGTGTAGATGAATGGTTACCCCAAATAATAACATTCTTAATTTCTGATACGTGAACATTCAGTCTCTCTGAAATTTGGCCTAATGCCCTGTTATGATCCAATCTAGTCAAGCAAGAAATGTTCTTCTCGGGGATGGAAGGAGCAAATTCCTTCAAGATCAATGCATTAGTATTCGCCGGGTTAGCAACAACCAAAACCTGCAAGAGTAAGGAAACAGAGTCAGTTGTCTGACCGTTCAAACATAATCAACTACAAAGAAATAGAAGAACATTGCTTTTTCAGTAAAATTGTTGATACGGAATGCAATCAATGTCAGTTACCTTACAGTTGGCAGCAGCGTGCTTTTCAAGGGCAGAAGCCTGAGCCTTGTAAATTGAAACATTTTTAGACATCACATCTTTTCTTTCCATACCCTCTTTCCTTGGAAATCCACCAACCATAATAGCAATATTGACACCAGTGCATGCCTCAACCACATCAGTTGTAGCAACAACACCTAAAATATAGTATCAACCATACATAAACAATAAGACAATCACAGAAACTGTTAAATGAGTTCGTTCGAGCTTAGAGAAGAATTGCTGTATTATACCCTTAAGAAGCGGGAAGGCAGCATCTACCAACTCCATCTTTACGCCATTCAATGACTCTGCAGCTGGTGGAATATCAAGCATGTGCAAGATGACAGGCTGGTTAGGTCCTAGCAATACTCCTCTGGCAATCATAGGCACAAGAGCATATCCGATTTGTCCTGAAAATCCAACAAGCAAATGCATTACTACTTTTCTGGTCACCATTGAGTAACATCTTAATACAGTGTTTCTTCTATGAAATAGTAACAGAAAACAGCAAATGAATACTGCTCGTATGCACCTAATATTCATGAGAGTGAGAAGGGTAGCGACTCAAAAAGAATGACTTGGTATTCTATTGACTGTTCTAGAAAAATAAACCAAAAATAAAGCTCTAATCGAAATAAAGGAATAGTCAACATATAGTGGTGATATCTGTCCGCATTAACACCCAAAGCAAACATCACTAATAAATATCAAGCTACACAGATTCACATTCTAGATCTACATCAATTCCTCCGACTATATCTTTCAACGTTCATTACTGCAAATCTTAAACACATAGAAACAGAGAACTCGAAGATCAACGAAAGAAACACATAAACATTTCCATAACAGAACCAAAACCTCAAGGATCGTTCGAACTCATTCTCTAAAACCACGAAGAAACAGATAGTCTCTTTTTCCAAATTTGACTCCGAAAACAGCAAACAAGGTAGCCAAACGGCGACGAAATTCACAGCAGAAACTTAAGAAATGAACTACAACCAACAGATCTGATCCAAATTCAAACCAAACACAGACAACAAACAACAAACATCAAACAACAGATGCGCTAAGTAACAGTATCACAGAAATAAATCAAACACACAGAGAAAAAAAGAAACCAAAAGCGGAAACGATTGATAAACCGACATCATCTTAGATCAATAGGAACGAAAAGCGAAAAGAAAGAAACGGAATGTTTATCGGTACAGTACCGGCAGCTCCAGTGACGAGGACTCTAACTGGATTTTGCGCCATGGCTGACGAGAATCAACGGGGAGAGAAAACTCAAGAATCAGAAGAGAAAATGAAGGTGATTCCGTAGAGAACTGGAGGTGTCTGGAGAAGAAAGGGGATATTTATTGGCCAGGAGAAACGGACGCTGAAACCTAGGTGTCGGATTTTTCTGGTCACCAATCGAACGACGCCGTCACTACGACGGGAGCCTTAACGACCGTTATGTAAATCTACCTGCTTTACTTCCCATTTAATATGAAAATAAAACCCATTAAATTTTTTTATTGAGTCTATGAGTTAAAATTTTAATTTTAATTTTTATAATTAATCATCCACTAATTTAAAAATAGAGTTTACAATCCAACCGAACTTAACTACACTAGTTATTACGAAGATAAGAATATTTAAAGTTTGTAACTTAAAAATATTTTAATATTTGAGAGTAATTAATATATATATATATATAATAATTAATTAATTAATTAATTAATGTAGATAAATATGATTTTTTTTAAATAATTATAAAAAAAAATGAACTAGACAACCAACCAAATAAGAAACACATTCAGAATTTCAAGTTGTGTTAGATTGGTTGTAAATCTTAGTCTAGTAGTCACCCGTCCAAAATTTTGAGTTTGTTAAAAAAAAATTCCGAGCTCAATACACTTACCTTCTTAAAAGAAATAATGAATATAATAATCGTATCATTCTTATATATTCAATTGAAATTTTGGTCTTAAATTTTTTAAAATATATTAATTTTTAAATGAAAATCAATGATAAACACACACAGATTAATAAATTTCAAAGAAAAAGACAAATGGTGGTAATTTTCGTTGGAAAAACTTAATAAATTTTGTGGATGTTATTTAATGGTTAATTTGTACGTTGAAAACTTAATATTACCCATTTTATTCTATTTAATTGACGTAAATCAACAATAATGGGTATATTCCGTTTGAGCGGTGAAATCCACGTGTCACATCACAGGGGCCATTAAGCTACGTGTAGTAACGGTGGGGCCAATGAAGCTACGTGTCATCTGCATTTTTATCTAATTTTTATGAAAGTAAAAGATTATGCACCAAAGTCAACCATTATCTGTTTTTTCATTTTTATCTAATCTTTATGAGTTTTTATTTTTTAAGAATTATTTGGCTTGCAATTATTGAATTAGGATAGGAAATTTTGGTTCAGTTAGGCTAAGAAAATGGAGAATTTTAATTTAAACTTGAAAATTTGTTTGAGATTTTAATTTTTAATAAGTTTTTGCTAGAAAATTCATATCATAATATGCCCTTAATGAATTAAATACAAAAACGACCTTTTTAAATTTATGAGTTTTAGAAAATTACACCCCACAATTTCTGCATTTATTAATTTTATATTTTTTTCTTAAAATAAGTAAATTTAAAGTCTAATTTAACGTAATTGAAGATTTAAAAGTACATAATTAAATACACGAGTTATAATGACACGTGTCATGGTCAAATTTAAAATACTCGATTTTTTTATAATATTAATTCTCTAGTTCAATCCTCGTTCCCGAAATGGAGGAAGATTGAGTGGAGTCTCAAGAACACTAGTGGGCCAAAAGCCCAAAAATTACATTTGGGCTATCAAAGCCCACCAGGCCCAGTACAGCCCAAAAATCAATACGTCGTGTCGTATTTCCTCAGACAAGTTTTATTGAATTCCCCTGCAGAATGACAAATGTACCCTTATATTCCGGGTGTCGGCGAAGCTTTTTAAAAAAATAATAATAATAAATAACTATATATTTATTTATGCAATTAATTTTCCCATAATTAACTATGTATTTTTAATTAATTTCGGTAATCAACGTTATTTTGTAATAATGTATTGAATTAACCTAATTAATAATTCAATTGTAATAATTTGAATGAGGAAAAAAAAAAAAAAAAAAACATGCATATATTACCAATTTAGCGATGGTCCGTGGAAGTTCGAACAAGCGAGTCAGAACCGGCATGGCAGCTGGAGCGTCGCTTCATGAATCCCTGCACCACGTATTCTGTCACCGCCGCCGCCATCCATTTGTCACCACCATTCCTCCGCCGGCCACCTATAAATACTCCTCCACCTTCCTCCCCTTTTCTCACATCACCATAACTAATAGCCCTTCTCTTCTCCATACCAGCAATGGCTCGCTCTTCTCTTTTTACCTTTTTATGTTTAGCAGTTTTCATCAATGGCTGCCTCTCTCAGATTGAGCAGCAGAGCCCCTGGGAATTCCAAGGCAGCGAAGTATGGCAACAGCACCGCTACCAATCTCCTAGAGCCTGTCGTCTTGAGAATCTTCGAGCTCAAGACCCCGTTCGCCGGGCTGAGGCGGAGGCCGGTTTCACTGAAGTCTGGGACCAGGACAACGATGAGTTCCAGTGCGCCGGCGTCAATATGATCCGCCATACAATCCGGCCCAAAGGTCTGCTTCTTCCTGGTTTCTCTAATGCTCCTAAACTCATCTTCGTCGCCCAAGGCTTCGGTATTCGCGGCATTGCAATCCCTGGCTGTGCAGAGACTTACCAGACTGATTTACGAAGATCGCAATCGGCCGGATCTGCGTTCAAAGACCAGCATCAGAAGATCCGCCCCTTCAGAGAAGGAGATCTCCTCGTCGTCCCGGCCGGAGTTTCTCACTGGATGTATAATCGAGGACAGTCCGATCTCGTTTTGATCGTATTCGCT